ATTATGCAGCAAAACTGTTTTCAATATTGATAATGATAATAATAATAAGAAATGTTTCTTGGGCACCAAATCGCCATATTAGAATGATTTCTGAATGATCAGGTGACTCTGAAGACTGATGCTGAAAATTCAGCTTTGATCACAGGAAGAAATTACATTTTCAAATATATTGAAATAGTAAACACTTATTTTAAATTGTAATAATATTTCACAATATAACTGTTCTTACAGTATTTTGTATCAATGAAATGCAGCCTTGCTGAGCATAAGAGACTTATTTCAAAAACATTCAATAGTGTTTTTATACTCATAGGTAGTGTACAGAATATCAGCTCAGATACAACTTCTTCTGCTTCAACAAATGAAATGTCACCATTGTATGTCCACAGGTGTCATATCCAAAAAAAAAAAAAAAGTCCCTGTGGCCCACTTGTAATGTTTCAATACAATCGAAAATTAGCTTTTGTTTTTCATTAATTTCTCGTATTTTGTTTTGAACGTATCACAGGAAGAAGAAGAAGGTTCAGATGATGATTCGGTTCGGTACACACCCCCGCCCATGTGCCTCACTGATAAGAGAGGTTGTGGGGAGGAGGAGGGAGACAGCGACACAGCATTTGTATCTCCACTGGATGAGATCAAAACAGTGAGACAGCCAGCCATAACCATGTCCAACCTCCACGAGGCCTCCAGGTACACAGACCTTAGTACTGAGGAACATCACATTTAAAAGAATGACAGAATATCATTCTAAACATTTGGTAAAACATAAGGAGAATATTTGGAGATAATCGAAATACTGGAGAACTATTTCTAGACACTGCTAATAAGTTGGGAAAATTTCATTTACAGCAATAGTCCTGCCAATCGGTTCCCTCATCATTTAGAACAGTTTTGGTAGAATATAATTTGGGTGGAATAAAGTATTTGGTAACACTTTACAATACGGGTGCACTGATATGCATTAATTCATACTTAACTAATGCACAGATAAGCATGAGTTAATTTATAACTTATGAAGAACTAAACCATTAATTGATTATTACTGGATCAGCAACTAATAAAGTGTCTATATGATTAATAGATTAAGTAATACATGAATTGCTATTATTTCAATGTGTCATTGTGTATTAATTCCTTAATAACATATTTTATTAACTAATAGTGTAAATTAATGTGTTAATAACCACAATTAGTCAAAGCTATGCACTTCAACTTCCAGTTGTCTGCTTTTAATTAATCATTAGCTAATGGTATCATTATGTTATGACTTTACTTGTTGGGGCACATCATTATTAGCTAGTCATTTAGTAATTGTAGTAATTTGCACATGAATTTAAACTAACAATTAAGTAATTATTCATGTATTAATGCATATTAGTGTACCTGTCATATTATCTGGAAGTTGAAATACAAGGCCTTGGCTCATTCTGGTAATTAACATATTAATTAACAGTATTAGTTAAAAAAATGAGTTATTATAGAATTAATCCACAATCACATATTTAATTAATAACAATTCATGTATGAACTAATACATCAACCTTACAGATTCTTAATTAGTTCCTAATGCCGTAATCATTAATGCATAGCTTAATTAATCATTAGTAACTCATTAATGCAGTATTATCTATGCATTAGTTAAGCATGAATTAATGCTTATTAGTGCACCCGTATTGTAAAGTGTTACCAAGTATTTCTGTCAAATATAAAGTATGTCAAATCTTTAACCTATGCAACAATTTAAAAGTAGACCGTGGTCTCCTGTGGTAGAGCCCTGCAGTATGTATTATTTTATATCTTACAGGTTGAAATGACCTATAATTGTGTATGGAAATGATCATTTTAGGATGAAGTATTCTTTAATAAACTGCATTTGTCTAATGTAATGGCAGGTCTGAGTTGCTGGATTGTTTGCGCGAGACTCGAGCCGAGAAGAAAAGACGCCGTAAAGCCATCAGAGAGTTCGAAGAACAGTTCTTCAGACAGATGGGAAGGTAAAACACAGATGCGTTATTGTGGCAATAACATATTTTAATGTTTTTTTTATGTTACTCTTTTCTTTATGAACATGGACAGGAAGGAAACAGGAAAATAAAGATCAAAATAATTCAGCATAGTTAGCGTAACTCACATCTAATCAATGATACACAAAATAATACCACCTGGAAGAAAAACAAATGATGTTTCTGTACACAATATATGAATGTTTTTTTTTTTTTTAAATAAAATACATTTCCATTTATCTATCCACTGATGTACAAAACTGCTTCAGTAAGGCAACTCAAGGGTTAAATGTGTTTTAATGGTAGTTTAATCTCACAGAGTCATCCGTTTCATGCGGTTTTGTTTTTTTTTCTTTCCCTCTCCACCAAAATAATGAAGATCCGCACAAAAAGATGACCGAATCCCCATGGCCGAGGAGTACCAGGAGTACAAAAGTCTCAAAGCCAAAATACGCTTACTGGAAGTGTTGCTCAGCAAACAGGAAACCACATAGACTATCTGAGTTAAAGAGATTCTTTCTGCCTTTCAGTAATGAACCCAATGTTTGGACCAAATGGAGTTTTTACATTTGACATAATTGTGCCATAATGATGCTAAAATGCACTTTAATATAATTTCTGACCACATTGGAAGTCCTAGACTCAATGGGTTGGGCCGAACCGATCAAGGCCTTTCACGTAAACACAGTGTGCGATCTCTGTGCTGTGTACAGTGCAAGACAGATCGATACAAACCTCATTCAGATTTCAAAGGGCAAAAGGAAATCTAGAGTATTCATCTGTTTATGGAATATGGCACTTTATTTTTTTAACCAAAGTCGAATCATATGCAATTTTTACGTTCTCTTGCTCTCCTTTGAAGCTAGTTTATGATTCTAATTAGGAACTTGGTGACATTATGCACACTAATGAGGTTCCATGATTCTCTCTGGCTAGACTGGATTTCTAGTCTGTCGAATAATGCAACGCTCTAGATAGAAAACAACTCAGAGCACTTAAAATGATGGTTTTATGCAAATTTCCGCAAAGCATATAAATACAGCGACAACCGACCATAATTGTACACATTGTATGAACTAACACAAGTTAATTGTTTATTTCTCATATACTTGTCCCTCGCATGAAAAAAGGGAGCACAAAACGAGACTTATGATGACCCACAATTAAAAAGGTTCTCCCAGAAAAAAAAAGAAGCTAAGGAAGCTAACTATTTTGTTCAAAAACCTGGTAAAGTACGGTACGTGGCCATCACAGAGCACAGTTTTCCTCCTATACATAACAAACCGTGACATTTTAAGCCAGTGGTTAAAATGAACACTGACTAGTCACATTGTAAGCTACAAACAATACTAAAGCCCAAAGCCGGGATATGTTCACGAAAAGCGGATGTGCGCTTTAATAAGTGCAATTCTGCTCAAGTAGCTACTCTGGAAACAAAACAATCAATATCTTTCCTTTCCGTCAGCTCTACTGCAATGAACTATTACAATCTTTGTGTAGTGTCTTTGCATGCCAACCAGCGTAAACTGTTGAATCGTGCTACAATCAGGTGTGGTTATTCTGTCAACTTATTGTCGTCCCAGACTTTATTTGCTGTACACATCCACAATGACATATGTAGCTTTTGAATGTTAGCTATAGTGCACGTAATTCTACATTGGTTTATACAGTATAATTATCTATATATATTTGCTTCATGGTGTACCTATTCTTTTCCATCACCAAAGTCCTCTGTATTGTGCACTTCTGGTTCTGTCCATTTTCTATTCACCCGTTAAAAAATAAATATTTTTCTATCTACACGTCGTATCACATTTATTTAATGTTAAATCACAGTATACTGAATGGGTTGGAATAGATAACGTGAAACACTGCCGAAGAAGAGTTAAGGAAGTGCTAATGTCAATGTTTGCGATCATGCTACAGATGCGTCCAATCACGGTTTTCGAGATCTCAGAGAACTGATCATCACATTCATAATGCTTCATAAGAATGGTTGTCGATCGACTGACTGCTGTGATTTAATGAGCAATTCGAGTTAAATTTGTGTAGACTTTGGTAAACTGTTACAATGCCACGTTCTAATGGGAGGGTCTGAAAGCCAATGGGGTTAAAGGATTAGTTCACTTTTGAAAAAACTTTTGCTGATAATTTACTCACCCCCATGTCATCCAAGATGTCCAGGTCTTTCTTTCCTCAGTCAAAAAGAAATTAAGGTTTTTGATAAAAACATTCCAGGATTTTTCTCCATATAATGGACTTACATGGGAACCAGGCGGTCCAAGGTCCAAACGACAGTTAATAACAGTTTCAGATGCAGCTTCAAATGTCTTTAAATGACACCAGACGATGAATAAGGGTCTTATCATGCGAAACGATCGGTTATTTCAAAACTTATTCCAAAAATGTAACTTTTCTAAGGACAAATGCTAGCCTGGCTCTATTCTGTGAGGCGCGTTTGCAACGTCACGTAATACGTAATTACGCTCAAAAGGTCACGGGCGACGTAGCCGGAAGTACAGAATCAAAATCGTCCGACATCGTTGTTTTACCTTTTAATTCCTTTTTGGTAAACGGCGTTTGAGTTAGTTTGCACGTTCAACCTATGCGTTCAACTTGTAAACACTCTGACTCTGTACTTCTGGCTACGTCGCCCGTGACCTTTTGAACGTAATTAAGTATTACATGACGTTACAAACGCGCCTCACAGAATGGAGCAAGGCTAGCATTTGTCCTTAGAAAAGTTACATTTTTGGAATAAGTTTTGAAATAACCGATCGTTTCGCATGATAAGACCCTTATTCATCGTCTGGTGTCATTTAAAGACATTTGAAGCTGCATCTGAAACTGTTATTAACTGTCGTTTGGACCTTGGACCGCCTGGTTCCCATGTAAGTCCATTATATGGAGAAAAATCCTGGAATGTTTTTATCAAAAACCTTAATTTCTTTTTGACTGAGGAAAGAAAGACCTGGACATCTTGGATGACATGGGGGTGAGTAAATTATCAGCAAAAGTTTTTTCAAAAGTGAACTAATCCTTTAAAGAAGCAGTTTGATTGACAGGTCAACATCCCAACACAAAACAACATATCTAACCTGACCCCGGGGGGAGATCCATAAGCTAGTAAAAGAAAAGGAGCCTTTTGTCAAAAGCTGTGAGACACATGCTGCGAAGGATCCTTACCCCAGACAGCAACATAGTGTCGGCCCAGATCCGGCCCACATTTTGTGTGCATTGCCCGGACCTGGGCAGACACTTTGTTGCTGTCCGGGAATGGATTATGGATAAGTTTGATGGTAGGACAATGGGTAAGAAGGACGGCTAAAGGAGAAGGCGATTTTTCTGAGCCGTTCAAGGCAGCAGAAGGGTTCAGTTTCATAGCTTAGCGTCCCACGCTGATGTTGCAGGTCTTGCAGCTGGGATCCTTCTTGGCATTGACTGTGGACATACTCATGAGCTGATGGCCGCTGATCTCAGCTACCGTGCCCACGCTCAGGTCCACGGGATCGGTGTAGATGACCTCCAGGATAAGGTCCTGCGCGTGGTGGAACACCAGTTGGCCATCTTCATCCTCCGAGCACGTCATAAAACGGTTGTCACCGATATCCAGCGCTGGAAGGCGCTGCTTGCAGAACTCGTCTCCAGGTGAGCCTTTCGGCGCGACCACTAAAATGACATAGTGATATGCCGTGTACATGCAGTAGAAGTCGGCGAAATACAGGTTTGTCTTGGGACTGAAGAGCGTCTCGGCTGGCAGCTGGAAACGGTAACGGCCGTATGGTGAGTCCTGAGGGGGTTTGCCTGTGTTGAACTCGGTATTACAGCTGAAGAAGATGCCCTCTAGCTTCCCGCTGATGGGCGAACCATGGCTGCCACTGTTGTCCTTCACTGACGGCAACATCTTGTTGTTTTGGTCCTCCCTGTAAGAGGAAACTTCACTGTAAATGACAAATCACTTCTTGAAGGTGAGATCAGATGTTACATAAACCATTTTCTCCTGTCCTTTGCACTAAACTTTACTGCCAGTGACTAACGGTGCGGTGCGATTACATTTAATGTGGTTCAATTGCAGTCATTTCAATAGGAATTCACACCTTCCCGTGTGGGCAAAAGATTTCGCCACACAGATTTCACAACAGGTTTAATTTGGTCACGTGGACGTGAAATTTTGCTAATGTGACCACACCTTAATCACCTTAAACCAGTAACCTGTGGTAGATGGAGAATACATACTGCTATTTTTTAATGGAAACTGGCAAAACTGTAAAGTTAATAGCACAACTATAATTTGGCTTCAAAAGACTTTAAAAAGAGAACATATCATTGGCCACTTTCATACTGTAGTATTTCTTTTTGGCGCTTGACAGCCCCTGTTGCAATTCACTTTTAATATGGAAAATATGCAGCTCGAACATTAATTTAAACATCATTCAGAAATAGGCTTCCATAATGAATAACCTTTTTGTCACGGTGTGCGCAGGCAGAAGGACAGGCTGAGTCCAGATTCCAACGAGGACAATACATTTATTTTAAAATACAGGCAGGAAGACGGGGTTTCACAGAGCAACATTCAACATCGACCGACAAAGACAGACTGAATGAAAAGGAACTAAATACACAGAGGAATCAAACATAATGAGGTGAAGACAGGTGAAACAGATGAACAGGACGCTGAACGGGAGGCTGATGAGGGAGTGAGTTCAGGTGTGCAGACGAGAGGATCATGGGAAGTGTAGTGCTGGAGACGCGGACAGGATGGTGCAGACGAAGGGCTGTGACACTTTTGTGTGAAATATCGTTTAACTGTCTTCTGATATATTTCCAGAGAGCTCTTTCCTCCCTACTATCACCTGAGGGTTCAGGCACTTTTGTAAATGTGGCAAATAAAGCTGAAGTGATATAAACAGGTTGAACTCCTATCTGAAATGTATCACTTATAATACTGATATCTAATAAACTCAAAGCAGAACCAATTGAGTTATGGATGCACTGCGTCGATAAACTTTCACTCACTCATGTGAAACCAGATTTAATGACTTGCTTGAAGCAAGGCAATGGATACTGTATATCTCACTGAAGTAAGATGAAGTGTTATATTCAGAGTCAGTGTTATATAAAAAACAATTTCTGTAGAGAAAAGATAAACCTTCCCTTTTACTACTTTTGACTGTAATGAGGCTTTTCAGATGGATTTAATTTGATTCCAAGGTGCCTCTTACATCTAAAATCGTATTCATTTTATTCATAGAAAAGCTCATTATAGACTTATTATGTCACCTTTGATGCATCAAATTGAACAGATCAAATTGAGTTTTCTACTATAAAGACTGATGTAATGGCTATTTTCATCAAATTTTACTAAGGACAGTATTAGATTAGTACTGAAGTCATTTAAATCACTGGGGTTACGTAAAAGAACATTCAAAGATAGAAAGAACGATGATTCGCATAGAGAACTACGTTTAAAAAACATTTCAGCGTTTTGGAATTTTTATTATGGGGAAAATGAATATTCATATGAAATGAAAATTCCGTCATTTACTCATGTGTGACTTTCTTCAGTGAACTCAAAAGGTCATTTTGAAGAATATATTGGCCACAATATTCCCTAATAAAAGTGAATAGGTAATGGCCATTTCTTCTGACGTCTCATGGACACACATCACTGACATCAAACCTGAAGCTGGATATTTTACAGAGTGGGAAGATTTTCAATAAATAACAATTTTAATTTAATAATGATTTTTACAGACCCAGTCCACTTTCATTTTATGGAAAAGAGCAGCCAGGATATTTTTCAGAATTGAATCTTTTGTGTTCCACAGAAGAAAGAAAGTCAGAAAGGAAGGTTTAGAACAAAATACACGTGACTGTTTCTTTTGTAATTTAGTATTGTTACCCTGGTAGACGCACACACCTTGCATGGTCAAAGTACTCCTTGTTCTGATTTCGATAAAAGACTGAGAACCGCAGCATTCTGCCGGCGATGACTTCAGCTTTCTCCATCAACTGTGTGAGATGAACAGTGGAATAATCTGGAGGCACAAAAAAGAGAGGAAAAATGTTTTGGAATAGTCAATATGAGTCAATAACAGCCTAAATAGGTTTGTAGAGGCCATAACGTAAAGTATGTAAGACTATTCTCTTAACCCATTTTCTTATTCATTGTCTAATATTATGCCATTCATAGGCTTATCTCCCCCAAATGTGTAAACATCGGGCCCCTCAGGCACCATCTAAACACTGTTCTGCTTAGATCTGTGCTTTTTCCCATGCTTTTTCATAACAGTAAACCCGCTCTGTTCTCTCGCTAGATTCAGGCATGCTGTATTCAAATTGCACTCTGATGGACTGACGGAAAAGTTGTGGTTTCTGCGGTTTAGAAATCGTGCATGGTCACATCGTGATATTCACATCGGGGTCTCCTGACAAATGACGTTAACCGATCATTAACTGTTAACCGACGAAATTATGTTCAATTAAATGAGATTAGAAATCTTTTTAGAAAAAGATTAGAAAAAAGTTTTATATCCGCAAATAGCAACTTAAAAATGGAGTAATATATGCAATAAATATAAGCTAAATATATTTAACTTAAAGCTGCAGTACATAGTTGTGCAGCTTGTATTTTGCAGTCCATTTCTTATTTTAATTTTACATTCAATATAATTCATTATTACCCACACAGCAACATAGTGTCAGCCCAGATCTGGCCTGCGTCTGCTACGTGTTGAATCTGCATGTAACAGATGTGGCCTGGATCAGGGCCGACACTATATTGCTGTCTGAGTAGCTTTTCATCAACTCATGAAACCACATTTGGGAAACCGTACTTTAATGTGCATCTCACCGGCTGTACAGAATTCAATGATCTCGCTCCACTCCGACACGGCGTAATCTCCATCGCCCTGTTTGGATGCGGTCTGAACGGCCACAGTGTACTCGGTGCGTGGACTCAGAAACCAGTGTCCTCGCACTGTCATGGGCAGAGGAACTGCTTTCGCAACCAGTTTGGTTGGGACGTCCTAGAGAAGAAAGATAATGAATGAGACTAATGAAAGAAACATTTCTTTTTCTACAAACACATGTTATTGAAGATCAGCTTTTGCACACAACAGGCCAGGCTGTGAAGGGACAGGTAAATATAGTGTCTGCAGACACACACCTTGTGTTTGAACTTGTTAGCATTCTTGTTTTCTTTCTTGTTGAGGTCAATGAAGTAGTGTGTGATGCGTTCCTTGGACCTGGAGTCCATATCCCAGCAGATTTTAAAGGAGTCGCATGTGATGTTGCTGATTTTGATGCTCTGGGGAACTGGAAGTTCCTCCATCTCGGCAATGCCACTGTCCAGGGATTTATTTCCTGAGAGACACAATGAGACAGATAGAGATGTTGGGAGAAAGAACAGAAACGGATAACTATTTGACTTATTTTGTCAACCTGAAAGTGGAGAAAATGATTTTTTTTAGCATATACACATTTAAAACAAAAATATTGGTGACTCATCTCGTATTCAAGGGTGTATGCAAATTTCTGTACAATCAAATGCTCAAATGATACCACCTTCCTCTGGCTATACTGTAAACAATCTGTGAAATTTACAGCAAAAAGCATAATCTGTGGATGCCAGACCTACAGTAGCAATATTTTAAGATTTACAGATTCACCTTGAAAAAATGTTTGTAAGTCAAATAATGTTAATATATTAAATTGCTTAATCTTTTTTTCTTCTTTTCTTTATAAAATATTGAGAACTTTAAAATACAGATGGCAAAGAGAAAGCCATTTTGACAAATCTAAATTCATCTTTTTCATAAGGTGAGGTAAATACTAATCATAATCTAGGCCAGTGTATAGATATATGCTCACAGATGCAAAACACCATCATAGTCAACTCACATGACTCTAAATTAAATTGTTAAAAACACAAGTATAATAAAACCCTAATGTACATAACTGAAGTAAAAATAGTTATTTAAACGAAAAGAAAAAAAAAACATTAAATGTGAAATGTCACACAGAGAATTCTGGGAATGTCAATTTGTTTTTCTACTGTGTAAATTATAAGATGTCTTTTTCAAAGCGAAATTTGTACGATAACAGTATTTTATAGTAAGATTACATGAACTGTCCAACAAGATTCGTTCGTTCAATTCTATTCATTTTTCACTGTATGTGGTAAAGAAACTTACTGGTAACCAATTTGCAGGTTTTTACTGTTGCATTTTTTACAGTCGTTTACTATTAAAACTTCGATCATTTTTCTTTAGTGTCAAGACATTGTTGATGTAGACACAGGAAAGAAAACAGTGCTTGTAAAGTCATAGAGTCTTCAAGAGATTCAATATTTGGAATAAAGTTTTCTGAAATGTGTGATTCTAGCAGTGACTACAGATTAATGCACAGCAAAGGTCAAAAATGTTAACACTAAGAGGAAATTCCCAGTCCGACCTTTATCCAGGTCAATACTGAACTTTACCACACTAATAGTAAACACTGCCACTATTGACTTGCAGGATGTGCCGCAGGGCAAAGCAGAGAAGGGCTTTTTTAGAGAACTGGGTTACTTTATCCATGATGAGAATTGATGAAAGTGCAATGGAAGTATGATTCAGTGGGTGTGGAATAACATTCAACTAGATTCTAGTTGGTTATACTGTAGGTGGTACAATATAAAAAGAGCCCAATTTAAATTCTGCATTTGGCTCTGATCTCAGCAATGTCTGTGATTTATTGTCTGCCACACTGACGTTTAGACCCTAGGATTAAATAAGTACGTTTTTGTTGTTTTGATTTGTTTAATCATCAACTGCTTGACTACATTTGCAATTGTTCCGGTTGATTCATACTTTCAAATTTAGAAGACTACAAATTGCAATCACCATATTTTCATGTATTGCTTTTTATCATGTAATCAACACACAGCACTATCAAACCCACCTCAAATAATTTCTCTTTCAGCTCTGAAATAAATCCGAAGAAAACACAGTCATCATTGAAACCTGTAGAAGACCGAATCAACGAAACAGCTTGCAGCCCTAAATGAAAACTAGCATGGCTAGCATTCAGCCTCTAGCCTCTTCAGTCCACAGATGGGAAACAAACAACGTCATAAAACGTTAATTACGGCTTATTAAAAGACTTTTCAATATTCGGTAGCAATTTAATTTACAGTCCTGATGATCCACATATACATACTACTTATATTAATGATAATAACTGAGTAATAACTAAACCTAACCGTTACCCAGGTAGTTTCCTAGGTAAGTATGCTGTAAGTACACATTAGACTATTAAATACAATGCAAACCAATATTATATGTAAAATCTATGTATTGTATATTGGATATTATGCTAACATTTTGCAAGATAATTAAGCAAGCACAGATTTACTGTTTACTGCATGTTAATTGTCGAACTAGCAACTTAACTAAATACTAAAATATTAATCATGTATGTTTAATACCTTTTTCATATTTCACTTGAAATTGTTTGTATGAAAAAATAAATATTGGAATTTCGGTGACATTTCAGAACTGTTACACTCTATAATGACAAATGTACATAGATCTTTCTGGCAAAAATATGTGATTATATTACATTTCTTGATGACATTTTTAAAACCATTAGGCACAAAAACAATGCTTTTGTCGTGTGAAGTTGTTTGATAAACTAATACCTAACATCAGATTAACTTAACATTAAAATTACCTACTTTTAAACATAACACATGCCCCGCCCCCCCCCCCCGCCCCCCGTTAATACAGTGGTGATTTGCGCTTTCCCAACCTCCTTCTTCCCTCAACCCAAAAATTACAGCATATAACAATATCATAACTATGTTGTAATATATTACATTTATATTTCAGTACAACATTTTTGCATTCAGTCCTGTTACTGCATGATTTTTTTTTTAATGTTTACCATAATGTAAACATTTTTTTAAAATTGTGACACCCAGGAAGTGTCAATTGGACTAGAATGGTAAAAACTCTCTGTTGACCGTATTCAACGAGGCCAGTATCATGGCAAATGTCATCACAGTTAAGATAGTGTAAGTTTCATGTAAGTAGTTTTATGGGAAATACAAGTTTGTCGACTCGATTGCCAATGAATAATAAATTTGAATAAAAACTTTACAAACTTCTATAATCAATATAGTCGATTATACTCAACAATGTTTGACCACCCAAATTTGACTTTGACAATTTCCTGAATGTTCAGCGCATTCTTTCACTTACAAATTGTTGGCTTACAAAAAAAAGTGGCCCTTTTTAGGCTCAAAAAATGTGTCTGGTACAGTAAACTAGACATATGAATTGAGAAGATTTAGCAATTCAAACACAAACCCTAAACCCTGGCGCCGAGGTGGCCCTGTTCATTCACTCCAGCTCTATAGGGAGATGCGAATGAATGAACTTAAAAGAAAGAGAGAGAAAAAGACAGAGAATGGCTGTGGGAGCAGAAGGCAGACACATTACCTGCCCAGTCAGCTAAAACCGGTCTGCAAACACACAGCGTAGAAAGAGAGATGAAGGCACCATAAGGGAGACGTCCTCCCGTGTCTCTTCAGATGGAGCGTTATAGATGAGCGAGCTCTTCTCAATTCTCAACCACCAGAGAGCTTCTGAATGAATGATTCATAGGCAGACCCTTATAGTGTAGCTCCCAGCGCTGAATCATTTCTCGTTTTATCTCTCGCCTGCACTATGCGTTCTCAGTACAAAAACTCAAGATAACAAGAGCTCGCCTACGTTAGGGAGGAGCGCTTTGACACCCGCTACTGTCTCACTGCTACACTATATTATCTCAGCTGAGAATTACTCGTGGAGCACTTTGATGCTTTCAACTACACAATGAAAAGGCAAAAACTTTGTCACTCGTTAGTTTCATTTCACAAGGAGTTCACAATTCCGATTCCCAACCAGAAGGTCTAAGAGACTAAGAATAAGGTTTATTGGTTTGTTCATTTTCCAGTGTAGCTGTGAGATGTTAATGTAGAGCATCTCAGCTCTCTTTACACACCCACACAGCTACAGTAACACAATAAAGTCATTTTTAAACTCTCACCAAAACACGCTTCAAAGAAATATATATCTCCTCAATAAAATAAATGTCAAATATGTCATACTTAGGTCACCCAAAAATGACATTTCTGTCATTAATTAATTACTCATCCTTATGTTGTTCTAAACCCGTAACATTTTTGTTCATCTTTGGAACAAATGAAGATATTTTGGATGAAATCTGAGAGCTTTCTGTCCCTCCATTGACTTCAAAGGGCTTTAAACGGCACCAGAATAGAGTGCCGAAGTTACGACGTCACTCTGTAGGCCAAAACGCGGAAGTGAGTTAGCATTTTAGCATTACGGTTCCCTCGCTCTAAAGGCTATGGGATTTTTGAATGGGTTTTTGCTAAATCACCTGAAATAAGGTAAACAGAGCCTCTAAATATTTTCACGTTTTGATCTCTGACATAGAACACAGTTATAACCTGCTTGTGGTTTTTTAAACTTTATTGTGTCTGATTGTGTTTTATAAAATCTTTATATAAGCTTCAAAATGTATAAATTTTGGATTAACTTGTAAAGTTTATCTTGCTAGACAAAACGTGTAAGGGTCACAACCCTTTGTTAAACACAAATCTTATTTTTTGCGATTTTCCAAAAGTCTATGGGGGAAATGCATTGCTTTTCGACCGAGGGAACCCATGCGCCGCTAGCTTCCGAGTTGTCCTACAAAGTGACGTCATCACTTCGGCACTCTATAAGGGTTTTATCTAGTGAAACGATCGGTCATTTTAAAAATAAATAAAAAAGTGGTCCCACTTTATATTAAGTGGCTTTAAGTATTACGTACTTACATCTAAAAATAAGTACAAAGTGTTATTGTGTTCCTGCTGTATTGTAAAACACTTTTGCTGCTATTGGGGTATGATACGGGTAAGGTTAGGGACAGGTGTGGTGGTATGGGTCGGTTTAAGGGTGGGTTAAGGTGCAAGGGTAGGGTCAACAGTGTAATTACAAATGTAATTACATGAATTAATTACAGCTGTAATTACATGCAGGTGTTTTTAAAATGTAAGTACAATGTATGTACACAATAAGTCCATTGTATCAAATTATTAATTTCAATGTAAGTACATAGTACTTAAAGCCACTTAATATAAAGTGGGACCAAAAAAGTTTATGTTTTATAAGCACAAATGCTCGCCTTGCTCTGTTCTGTGATGAGCGTTCGTGACTCTCCTGTTCAAACTCGTTCGTCAAAATGAACAAGTCTTTTTTCGAGTCATGACTTGAAGGGTCCTAGATAAGACCCTTATTCATTGTCTGGTGTCGTTTAAAGCCCTTTGAAGCTGCACTGAAACTCTCATTTGGACCTTGAACCGTTTGGTTCCCAATGAAGTCCATTATATGGAGAAAATGATGGAATGTTTTCATCAAAAACCTTAATTTCTTTTCGACTGAAGAAAGAAAGACCTGAACATCTTGGATGACGAGTAAATTATCAGCAAAAGTTTTGTTTTTGTTTTTGTTTAAAGTGAACTACTCCTTGAACATATACACATTCATCAACTCACACATCAGTAGTAAACTGAAGCTCAAGCTTCAATCAATGTGAATAAAAGCCTTTATTAAATCTGTTCATCATATAAAGTGACTGAGTCTCTTCAGAAAATATTGGACTAAACCGCTCAATTCATATGAATTCATTTTAAGATCTCTGCATGAACTTTCAAAGTGGTAGTTGCATAGATTGTCAATGGAGGTCAGAAAACTCTCGAATTTCATCAAAACAATCTTCATTTGTGTTCTGAAGATGAACGAAAGTGTTATGGGTTTGAAGTTGTCACTTAGAACTGTTTGATAACCAACATTATTTAAAATATCTTCTTTTCTGTTCAACAGAAGAAAGAAAAGAAGAAATATTATTTTTTTTACTAAATATATTAAAAAAGAAACATTAAATATCACAAAAACGAGGATTATTTTTATGTAAAATAAATAATTGTATTTGTTTATCGACGTTAATTATTATTACATTGGCAAAATATTACCTGCTATTGACGTGTTGTGAGAAAAATAAAAAGCTTTGTGAATGCATACTTTAAGTCACCATACAGGCACAAATAATTCCACCACTGACGTAACCTTGTTATGAGATTTTTCCAAGAAGCAATGTCGCATTTAAAATATCATCAAGGACATTTATAACTACAAAATTAATTCAAGGACACAGTGTAGTGTGCTGTAACTCAAATTACACCTAAAAACCTTAAGAGGATCAAAATGCCAAACTGCTCACAATTTTGATTCTCTGTGGGGGGAAAGTAAGTAATCTCAGGCTTAATGGACTAACAGCACATCTTTCTGAGCATGCCAAAAACTCACAGATGGAATGAAATTCTGTAAAGTACCGGTCAAAAGTTTGGACAGAATTCTAATTCTTCATTGTTACTAATAATAGTATAATATTTATTAATATTATTAAATGAATATATTGAATAACAGTGTTAAATAGAAGTATTAATATTATTGCACTTTACACTTACAATTTACATTTGTATACAAAACGAAGCATTTAAAGGAGTAGTTCACTTTTAAAATAAATTTTGCTGATAATTTACTCACCCCCATGTCATCCAAAATGTCCATGTCTTTCTTTCTTCAGTCGAAAAGAAATTAAGGTTTTTGATGAAAACATTCCAGGATTTTTCTCCATATAATGGACTTTACTGGTAACCAAACAGTTCAAGGTCCAAAAGACAGTTTCAGTGCAAACTGCAAACTGTTTAGGTCTTTAAACGGTTTCAGTCGATGAATAAGGGTCTTATCAAGCGAAAAGATTGGTCATTTAAAAAATAAAAAATAAAGAAATTCAAGTTTTATAAGCTCAAATGTTCCCCTTGCTCTGTTCTATGGTGCACGTTTGTGACTCTCCAGTTCGAACTCGTTCATCAAAATGAACGAATCTTTTTTGAGTCATTTGGTTCATTCAATGAACAAAATGAACGAATTGACTCAAAAAAAAAGATTTGTTAATTTTGAGTTTGAACAGGATTGTCACAAGGCGAGCATTTGAGCTTATAAAACTTAAACTTTGTTATTTATTTTTAAATGAGCGATCGTTTCGCTTGATAAGACCCTTATTCATCATCTGGAATCATTCAAAGCCCTTTGAACAGTTTGCAGTTTGCACTGAAACTGTCTTTTGGACCTTGAACTGTTTGGTTACCAGTAAAGTGCATTATATGGAGAAAAATCCTGGAATGTTTTCATCAAAAACCTTAATTTCTTTTTGACTGAAGAAAGAAAGACATGGACATCTTGGCTGACATGGGGGTGAGTAAATTATCCGCAAAAGTTTTTTTAAAAGTGAACTACTCCTTTAAACATAAATAGTCATCTCAAGAAATGTGTCCAAACTTTTACAATTACAGCATATATAATGACATGTTGGCTTGCATTAGTGAATGACAACTCAAGCAGCACTAATAACTTGTCATCTAGAATCATCATCAAAGATCCGGACACACAGTCATGCACCGGAAACTCAGTTGCTATACACTAGGAATGTTAAATTTGGTCTTTTCTCCTTGTAAGGACATTTGAATGGGCTGACTTGTAGGCATGGGGGATCCTCCATCTGCCAAAAGAGTGCTATTGAAATCTCTATCCATGATTGGAGTTATTGTGGTTATGGGGCTTACTCATGTAACTTACATTAAGAAGCCTATACCTATATACTTATACAACAAATACATACAAATCTCCATATTCCCATTATACTTGCATCAATAACATCCACTATTGCCTTCAATTGTCCTAAAATAAATTGCATCACTAATCCACAAAGAAATCAATAATTACATTTCTGGGAAGACAATAGCAGAATTATTCCAAGGATGAAGCAATGAAGCGTTTCATTAACTCATTATTTATCAGTCACAAGGTCATCGCATCTGTTTCACTAATGAGAACAGATACTCTCTCTGGCTTTCATTGTACAGAACAGACTACAAAAACCACTGGTAATGCGAAAGCCTAAGCCTACAGGAGATTAAACACAAGGACAGAAACCACAACACATACCAGCTGGACGAACGTCGTCCTCTCTTGGACTCCTTCAGGCAGGAGTAGCAGGTTTGTGTAATGCAGTAGCAAAGGCTAGTGGACATGGTCTCCTGTCCAGCTCCAGCGCACTGACCCGTCTTCAACGCACCCTGAGCCTAAAGCGCACGCTATTGGCTTAGAGCAGCTTTAGCGTTTGTTTTGCAAGCCTATAGCGCACTCCCATAGGAGGAGCCCGGATTATGTCATCAGCTGGACTCTGTGACTGACCTCAGGTCAGCGCTGGATTGAAATTTCAGAGCGTGGAGAGAGAGAGAGAGATGGGTTTTGTCTCAGTTGGGTAATCTGGTCACTAGCTTCCATTAGAAAAGGGGAAACTATCCAGTGAAGTTCTACATCCCACCCTCCCCCTCACAATGCCGTTCACTCCGTCTGTCATGTTTCCAAAACGTGACATCATTCTTATACCGGATGTCAGCCTATTGGAGATTATTTGCTTTTGTGGCATTAGGAATGTGACACTTACATATTCACAGTAAGTGGTAGACATCACACAGATTTCAGACCTTCTGACACCTCCAGATATAACTACAGGGAGTTCATCAAGTCAAGCTTTGAATGTTGGTTTGACAAAGCCTTGCCTGGAAGTTTACTTTGATGTTGAAGGTTATTGAAGTCTTATGTAATAAGAGTGCTTAGGCAGTTTGAAGAGACTTGAGGCCCTATCGTGCACCCTGTGCAAATGACTTTATACACCGACACATTTATCATTCCTATTTTGTACCCACGCAA